GATGGCCAGTAAACAAAGAATTTACCTATAGTAATACAATTAGAAATTATTGTAATTGGTTAAATTTGTTTTTTTTCTCACTCTCCTTTTATAACGAAACCTCTCTATAACGAAAAAAAATGCTGGGTCCCTTGAAATTTGTAATATAAAGAGTTTACACTGCGTCATAGTCGTAGAATAGTGACGGATCTGACAGATAGTAAACTTTACAGGGCAGCCATTTCGAAATAATATGATCATGATAGTTTTTGTCATAACTATTTTAATTCATATTCTGTTAATATGAAAATTGGCATGCAAGCAAACAATAGGGTTTACGATATTTTTGGTATAGCAACATCGATGTTTTTGCTATCAACATCGATGATCATCGAGCATCCCTAGACTCCAGTGGCACTATAACTTTTGATATTGGCGTTCTATGTTCGTAAGGCACATAGGTTTATGGGTTCTAATGTCTAAAGATATTGTCCTTAAATGTACGAATGAATATTTTATAAATCCTATTGGTAATATCCATTATACAAATTGAATATTGAAGCATTTCACACTTGCAGTAATACAATTATAATATATTTACTCAAGTGGCTACATACAATGTAAAATTAATTATAAGCACAAATTTAATACAATAGAAAATACCTTCTTTGAAATGTTGAGTCTATAGTAGAGATAATTAATGCAATATAAATTTTAAAATTAAACTTCAATTAGAAGGCACTTGAGTAATATCGTTCCGCTAGCTTAAAGCACAGAGGATAAGTGAAATATTCATTAACAGTGTTGAAAATTAGCTATATCTCGCGAATTTTGAAGTAAAATGGACTTATTAATTAATTATTGAAACTCGAATTGAATGGTAGGTATTTTGATCTAATCATATTCCTTGTTTTTTTATAAATACTATTAAACATCGCGCGTTATAAATAAAATAAATAAATCAGTGGTGCTACAACCCATTTAGGTCTGGGCTTCAGATGTCTGTATCTGTTTCATGATCAATTGTCAATCTAATTGGCGAGTAGGTTCAGCCTCCTGTGCCTGACACCCGCCGTCGACTTTTTAAGTCTAAAGCCACATTTCCTCACAATGTTTTCTTTCATCGTTTAAGCTAATGTTAAATGCGCACATAGACATTCTATTGCTGCACAGCCGGGGATCGAACCTACGACCTCAGGACCGACAAATCAAAGGTCTGTAGAACCTGCAACTAAGTATTTTTGACAGAACTGGTTTTACGTACGAACACAGATAACATTCTGTACGACATAATTTGGATACGCATGGATTCGATTTAGGAAGATAGAAAAAAAAACTTTTATTTGATTAAATCACACACACATATATCTTCTTAATCTTAATATATATAAATTACGTGTCACGTTGTTTGTCCGCTATGGACTCCTAAACTACCGAATCGATTTCAATCAAATTTTCACACCGTGTGCAGTTTGATTCAACTTAAAAGATAGGATAGCTTACATCTCAATTTATACCCGCAATACTATTTTATTGCAAAATATTTGTTTATTATTTGATAGGCAAAATTCTAACCGATGGCGCTGTGTTGAAAGTACCAACGTTTCACATAAGCTACAATTTAATGGCATAACCACCAAAGAAGCATGGTGGTCCATATGACTGGTGTTCTCCTACCGGTTCCCTTGAGTAGTTTACTACTATTTAATATAACAAAAACCTTAGCCACAACAATGCTTGGCCGATCTGCTAGTAATATATAAAACAAACACAATCACTTTAATCAAACTCATTTTCAGTGAAGCATATCTTGGAGTAAGTATACTCTAGGCGTTTACTTCACAAATAACTCTTGACAGAGTTACGAAATACAAGAAACAAGTTCTCGTGGGCTATGTTGGTGAGTTGTGGCCAATTTTAGACAGGCCATTGACCCCGTTGCGTCAACTTGCATTACCACGTGGCTGATTCATGAAGGGCGTATGCTTTAGTAGGTCTATCTATAAACAATATTTTACTTTAAACACGTTTGACATGCTTGTTTAATGTACTGTAAAGAAAAGAGCGTGCCAATTACACGCACTTCTGGCGGCGGTATCACTAAACAGCAGATGAGCCTCCTACCCGGTTGCCCCCCTTTATATATTTTTTTATTGAGGGGAATGGAATTGGGATTCGCTATAACAGCTCTTCCCAATAAACCCCTCCCACCAATCACGTCACTGTTGGGGAAACTTGAAGTTGCGTTAGCATTCTACCAAGAGACCCCGTGATTCGTCGGCATTTTCGCACATGGGGTGTTTCCACACATCTGGCGGCAGATTTGTGACCCGCTTTTCCACACCTATAGCACACACACACATTGCTACGGTCCACAGTGGATGGTGGATGAAGCCCGGTTGCCCACCTGTTATAACATGTGTCGCAAAAGAAAGTTTACATTTATGCTTTATTTACGCTAGTGCTTTAAATATGCATAGATCTTCATTAACCGCATTTTACGCAAAGACCTAAAGCTGCACCCCTACAAAATTCAATTGGTGCAAGAATTAAAGCCCCAAGATGACAGTCAGAGGCTTGACTTCGTAAATCAATCTCTTCCCACATAAGTATTTCCGAACCAATTCGACTTAGGGTCCTTCAAGAAAAGAGCGTACCAATTCTTAAAAGGCCGGCAACGCACTCGCGAGTTTTCTGGCATCGGCGGCGGGATGGTAATTGATAACGTACCATAGGATGAGCTTTCTGCCCGTTTGCCTCCTGTTCTATAAAAAAAAACTGAGCGCTTTTCAACGTTTACCAACATCTTGTTTTCGGATGACGCTCATTTTCATCTTAAGAGACAAGTAAATAGGCAGAATTGCCGGTACTGGCGAACGAATCCGAAACGCAAGCATCAGAGACCCCTTCATTCGCCTATAGTGACTGTATGGGCTGCGATGTCAGCGCGAACGCGAGGGTCTATATCTGAACGGTATTATTTTTAAGAAATAAATTCCCAAAATTTGTACTTAAATAATGAATAAACACTTTTTTGATACACGACTTACTTTTTTTAAATCGATAAACTAAATATGAACTTTCTTTTGAGACACCTTTTATATATAAAAATAATTTTAGAACAGCATTGTTACTGTGATTCCGATTAGAGATTTATTTATTTATTAATGGCCGCGAACAAGGGCCATTAATAAATAAATAAATCACATAACAAAAACAGGATAGAAGAAGTTATAAATTTTGAAACCATTGTGTGTCCTCGATGGTAGGTGCGGACGCCGAGCACAAACATAACGCTTAACATACAACATGTTTACAATCACTAAGTCTGCACGGACAAACATTATTATACGAACACAAAACAAAAGACCTCAAATTACAAAACAGGGAAAAACAAACAAAATGAAAACAGTAATCGTAACTTCCTCTAATCGGATGGGGGATTGCAGTCTAGCCATTATTTATTTATTTACACTTTATTTTTTTTTATGGCTCTGGCACGATTTGTGCATTAGCCAGCGTCAAGTATAGGATTTTTTTTTATAATTCGTGCTAGTCTTTTTAGAAATTCGACAGTGTCCTCTATGTACGGTTTTAAGCACTCGCCCGGTACCGCACAACCCTCCCAAAGGCCGAGAACAAATTTAAATTAAATTAAAACTTGCCCTCGAACCGGGAATCGAACCCGGTACCCCTCACCTAGCTGCCACTTAATAAGACCGCTAGGCTATGAGGCCCCCTTTATTTACACTTTGTTACCATAATATACAAAATCATACATATAAAAAAAAGCAATAAAAAGCAGGTTCCATAAGTTATTACGCAACGGGCGGCCTTATCGCCTTAGCGATTTCTTCCAGGCAACCCTTATATGGACAATTAAAGAAACACCTACAGAAGGTAAAGTACAGGAAGTGCATAATTAATAAACAAAAAAAAACTATAACTAAAATTAATATGTATAAACAAAAAGTGATTTTAGACCTATTTGTTTGTACACTGTCAGCCAGTGTTCACAAGATTTGCATCCGTTTCGTTCTTTTTAGTTATAAGCTTTAGGTATATAAATATTTTTTTAATGTTTTTTATCCAGGTTCATTGGTGTGGGTATAAATATTGTGTCGTTCTATCGAATTAGTAATTACTGTAAAGATAGAATAATGATGAATTTTATCAATTTTTTTCTGAAATGGAAATAATGGCGATAAAATATATCGTGTAAATTTGAAAATCACGTTCTATATACATTTTCGTCATAAAATGAATTCAAAGTGTGAAAAATTGGCTATGTTTGGATATTTTTTCTCTCGAGCGAAGTTATTTAAATCGTGTATCGATCTTTCAAAATGGATACATAAACTACTCAACTCCACCTTTAGTCCAGTCAGTCAAGACAATTAATTCATTATAATTCCAAAAGTTTTCAAATTTTGATGTAAGGTCGGGAGTGGTATTAAAACAAACTATAAAATTTTGCAACCTTCTCTGCGGTCCGGAACATTGTTAAAAATAAGTTTTGGTCGTGAAAAAAATTCCAAAAGTTCTGCAAACTTGGGGAAGTTTTCGATATAATATTTCATATCACGTATAAAATTTGCAACCAACCTAAGTGTACGGAACATTTTTTGTTATTTATTTTATTTTCGATATATCTGTCAAATTTGCAGAACTTTTGGAACGTTTTCCTTCAGTTTAATAAAGAAAAACATTAATTTTTAATAACAAAAAATGTTCCGTACACTTAGGTTGGTTGCAAATTTTATACGTGATATGAAATATTATATCGAAAACTTCCCCAAGTTTGCAGAACTTTTGGAATTTTTTTCACGACCATACAGCAAAAATTAATTTAATTGCAATTTTAACAATGTTCCGGAAAATGAAAAAAATGAAAAATGAAAAAAAAATGAAAAACAATGTACTTTTTTGGAGTTTGGCGACCGGATAGGACTTTAAGCAAATGTTTGACATACAGTTTCTTTTTTCAGTGTACACAGGCGCCGTTGGGCGCTAACCATAATATGATGCGTACACTGCTGGCATACTATGCAGACATGATGGCAGCAAGTCGCGGAGCGGGATGCGCGCGCGACTGCAGCGGACGCGGGGACTGTATGAACGGGACCTGCCTTTGCGAGATCCGGTACACGGGAGACGAGTGCGCGGGACATAATCTCCCATACCATGCGTGTGAGTTTCATTTGTTTATTTTTTTTTTATAACAAACTGGTAGGAGGCCTATCTGATGTTCGGTGATATGGACTGCCAGAAGGCTTGCAAGAGTGTTGCCGGTTGCCGGAATTGGTACGCTCTTGAAGGACCCTAAGTAGAATTGGTTCGTGAATACTTCAGTCGGTAAAATGTGCCTATTTAATTTTCTAAACACAAAAACTAATTGGTAATAAATCTAAAAGAGCAGTGTTGGGTTTAGCGTGCGGCTGGCTATCCCTATCTATCCCTGAGTCGTAGGTTCCATCCCTGGCTATGCACCAATGGACTTTCTTTCTATGAGCACATTTAACATTCGCTCCAAAGGTGAAGGAAAACATCGTGAGGAAATGTTGACTTCGACCCAAAAAGTCGATGGCGTGTGTCAGGCACAGGAGGCTGATCACCTAGTTGCCTATTCGATTGATAAATGATCATGAAACAGATACAGAAATCTGAGGCCCATACCTAAAAAGGTAATAAAGTAAAGGCGCCACAGATTTTTAAATCTAAAAACTGAGTGCGACGGTCTTATACGCTATCTATCCCAGGCAACCCGTGCTCAAAGAAAGCCAAGATTTACACAGAAATAAAACAAACGGGAAGTAAACGTAATAATAAAAATATTAGGTCCTTACATATGAAATTGGCATTTTGTATGGGAGGAACAAAAAGTCGAATATTTTTAAATCTATATATATATAAAAGGAAAATGGTCTTCGTTTGAGGCTCCTTCACGCCTAAACCACTGATCGTATCGACATGAAACTATCACCATTTTTCCTAGATGGTTTATGGCTATTTATTTATTAAATTCCAACGTTCCTTCATTTTTTTATTGCTGTTTTACTTTTATGAAAATTTATCCATACGGACTTCACCGCGGAAACATTCGGGGAGGCTTCCTAGAACCTCTAAACGTCAACATCTGTTAAAAACTCGATTTTCGAAATATTTCAATTTTCTTAGCGGGAAGTTAAAAAGAAGAATAATAAAAATATGAAAAAAAATAAAATAATGAAACATAAAATTTATTTTAATTCGTCCAGCAAAGCGGGCGCGAAACGGCTAGTATAATATATTTAATTAATCAAAGTATGAACCATTGTTTTCTATGCACTTTTGCCATCTCATAGGTAGTTCATTGATCCCTTTACTAAAAAAAACAGTCGGACGGGAATCAATAAAATCTGTGAAGGCCATTTGGACTGCCCCATCAGAGTTAATTTTTTTCCCTTGCAAGAAGTTGTCCAAATTTCGAAAAAAATGGTAATCTGTTGGAGCAAGGTCCGGGGAGTACGGAGGATGTCTTAGACATTCCAATTGAAGCTCTTCTAAGTTAGCCGTCTGTTGTGCAGTGTGTGGTCTAGCGTTGTCGTAAAGTAGCAGTGGCGTGGAGCGATTGACCAGCCTAGGTTGTTTAGCCGCTAGCTTTTCCATCATGGTTTGCAATTGCTGACAATAGACATCAGCCGTAATAGTGTGGCCAGATTTGAGAAAACTGCAATGAACAATACTGGCACTAGTCCACCAAACGCTTACAAGTAACTTTTTTGGGGTTAATTTTCGCTTGGGGCTGGATTTGGCTGGCTGGCCAGGATCCAACCATTGCGCTGAGCGCTTCCGATTATCGTAAAGAATCCATTTTTCATCACAGATAATGATTCGGTTTAAAATACCTTCATTATTGTGCCGGTTTAGTAATGTAACGCAGCAGTCGACGCGCGTTTACCGGTTTGCTTCAGTCAATTCGTGAGGTACCCATCTTTCAAGCTTTTTAATCTTCCCAATTTGCTTCAAGTGAATTAAAACAGTTTTATCACTAACACCGCAGCCTGCAGCTAACTCCTACTCCTTTTCCTAGTGGGAGTGCCATGCTGTTGCCTTCGGGCTTCAGCCAAATGGGCAGGCACGACCGGGGCAGTACCACTGTCTCTCAGAAAACCGGCGTGAAGTGATGCAAAGGTTCGCCTTCTTGTACTCGCGTTTCGTGCGGTGAGAGAGATTCCCGGCGCCCATCCCCCCCCACACAAGAAATATGAAGGTGCAGAAAAAACAGAATCTACCCCAGGGGGGTACCACACGCGCTCGCGGTGGAGAATCCCCCTCTGGGCGTCCACCACCGGGACACTCAGCACCCGGTGGTGGACGCACAGGCTGCCCTTCGTATTCTGGGGGGGGCAATTCTGCGCTCTACAAAATAGTAATCGTCCTCGGGGCAAACGGAGCAATTATACAAAGGCACCCCCGTCCACACTCGCCGTGGACTTCACAAATGTTAGGGGGCTTAATTCTAACATCAACGCTGTCCACTATCATCTAGAGACTGCGAAGCCGGCCTTGCTCTTTCTTACCGAGACTCAGATATCCTCCCCGGCTGATACTTCCCACCTATTCTACCCGGGGTACAAATTGGAACATTCATTTGTGCCGCGGGCTGGAGTTTGCGTGTACGTCAGAGAGGATATCTGTTCTCGTCGCCTCGGGACGCTTTAATATTATAAACAATGTTAAAAGTTAAAGAAACTTCTATTTCTTTGTACTTTTTGCTGATAGAAATACTCGTGAATCAGAGATTAATAGTGTCATAGGTGATTCCGAACATCGCATTCAGAAAATTCTTCTTTCGAAGGTTGGCGATCATCATGCTACTTTAATTTTGGATTACAAACATTAATATATAAAATAATTTAAACATTTAAAACTACATTGTTTTATAGTATACTACTTTGACGCAGCTTACACTGTTTGACAATTGACATACATTTAATTATATCTTTTTTATAAAGAATAATGTAAAATCTATAATTGCAATATTTGTAGAAAGGTGAACACCATGAGAACACATAGAATTATAATACTTGCACATTCTAGCGAGCGGACCATTCTGGGATACATTGTTGTTACTTGTGGGTATCATAAATAGTTGCGGCTTACGCACAGAACGCGTCGGTACCTTGATGTCAAGTTCATGGTCTTCACATATAATTATCAAATAAATGTATACAAAATATTGTAAAAACTTTAAAAGGATACGTATTGAGTTTCTTGCACATTCTTCTCCATATGAAACTACCTTTTAGAAGGGGCAAATAATATTTTGTTTAAACTTGTGAGTTGACTTTCAAAAGTGCTTTTTAAAAGGTCTTATTGAAATAAATGATTCGCTTTGAATACTTTAAAAGACAAATTTTCTTTTTGTGTAGAAAATAGTACAATCATTTTTAATTTAAAATGAAATAATTATCGTAATTAAATTAGATTACGCACATCAATGTCCGATAAGATAAAGTAAATATTGATTTGATGTTGTTTGCAATTTTGATAATTAACAAGTATCGGCTGTACTTTGTATTCATTAAATTAATTATTTTTGTTGGTGATAGAAGGGGAATAGGACAAAACGCGTAACCATGATTTAGATTAGCTGTTAGAGAGCTGATAGAGAGGTTCTATTTGAAAATTAACATCTTAAATTGTATTTTCAAGTTTTTTTTGGTTAAAAAATAATAGGTATTTAAATGTCACGCGCTTTCTTCGTCTAACTTATCGGTCATTAAACTTCATTGTTTTACTTAATGTAACGGACTCTGAGTGCGACTGTAAAATGCTTTGTGTATGAATAATAGAAACTTCCTAAAACAAATTTGAATAACAAATTATCCTTCTATTGCCAAAATGGATAGAATTATATCTATGTATAATATGTGTTTAACCCCTCTCCCTTCCCCCTTAAAACTAGCAAGAAATATAATTAAAACATTAGACACATCACGACAAAATTAATGTTTTTAAAAATTCGACCATTTTGTACTGGGTCTTAGTAGGCAAAGTTCTCTTGGTAAGTATAAAAATAATTAAATTCTCCAATCGGCATATCACTGTCAATTTCTGAAGGTATAGACAGATATATATCGATGTTTATCGGGGCTCGGGGTCTTGACTTCAACTCCACCGGTCACAGGCTTCTCCAAGTTTTCGGGACTCGCGTGCCATGTGTTCAAAAGTCTCATCATATACATAATAATATATATTACTTTGCATAGTCCATTTTTCCAAGGCTAAATATATATTATATACGTTACAAATTTTGGGTAGACCAGTAGCCAAATATATAATATTTATTAGTTATTTATTAATTAGTCAAAATTTTACACATACACATATTATAGAAATGACCACTGAAATTAAATTGAAATAAAATATGTTTATTATGGAAATGTATCACTTATTCCACGTCATTAAATTTGAATTTGTAGGAATCCATACTCATCGGCAAAGAAGTCAGAGGGTGTAGGCCGAGAGAAAAAGCCGGCGTTAAAAACTCTCGGTACTCTTTTAAAATAGCAAATCATCAAACAACACTTATTTTAAAACAAATATCGCAAATTAATTAGAAGTAGCCTGTCTAGCACTAGTCCCAGGCCCTTTTATCAACTAGATAATCGTTAACTTTATAGTAAGCCTTTTTACACAGCTTTTCTTTAATACATTTCTTAAATTTATTAAAAGGCAGAGATAAAAGAGCCTCTGGGATTTAATTAAAGAAGAGTATATTTCCCAGAAAAAACATTAATCATACTACAACTTAATATTTTAGAGAAGAAAGAAATTGTAACTATTACTAAATAAAATCAAAGTTTTCCCGCATACTAAAATATCTCCTCACACACTCTTTGGTAAGGAGGAAAATATCACCTTCATAAGTAGTTAGCTAAAACCCATTGGGGAATTACGCGGATAATTTGTGTCCGTACGAGGCACATGGAACAATTGTGAATATCTTTTCGCATACGGGAGGTTCTTTGAGGTGTCTTTTCCTGTGCTAGATGCAGCAACTCTTCCGCAGTTGCAATAGCTGTCCATTCTCTAACGTTGCGAAGCCATGATTTCTTCCTTCTACCAACACGCCGTTAACCCTTGATTTTACCCATTATAATTAATTGAAGGAGGTGGTAGCGGCCATGGCGCAACACGTGGCCCAGGTACGCAACTTCCCGTTGTTTAATGTTCTGCAAAAGCGTTTTCGACATTCCAACTCGTTTCAGAACCTTCTCGTTAGAAAGCTTCTGGTTCCAGCTTGTTCCAAGCATGCGACGATAGCACCACATGTCAAATGCTTCTAAGCGCCGGCAGGTATCTTCTTTAATTGTCCAAGCTTACAGCCGTACAGAACAATTGGCCATATGTAACAAAGGAGAAGTCGGACTAAAGATAAACCTAACCTAAAGATGTTATTGACAGCCAATAGGGGCTATCTATCTGCCCATTTAGAATAGCATGTAAATAAATATTTGTGACTACGCCGTAATCCAATGAACCTGAATTAAAATATTCGCTTGAATTTGCGTAATTATTGAAATATTGAGTTGTTCGGACTAATACCTGCAGCTGAGTTTCATCATCGGACGTCAAGGCAGAATACAAAATACCATCCGTATCACCTTGACGACCGTCGTGTCGTTCCACAACTGAGCGTTTCTTTAGGCAATTTCTGCCGCGCACCACCACTATGTGAAGCCTGCCCACGGAAGTATTTCCGAACCAATTCGACTTAGGGTCCTTCAAGAAAAGAGCGTACCAATTCTTAAAAGGCCGGCAACGCACTCGCAAGCCTTCTGGCATTGAGAGTGTCCATGGGCGGTGGTATCACTTAACATCAGATGAGCCTCCTGCCCGTTTGCCTCATATAACATTAAAAAAATTGGTATTGTTTAAAACTAAGGAATTTCACAATTTCTTTTGTATATTTTTATATATTTTATATAGTACTGTATATAATTTTTTTGCAGGTATTGGAGGGGTGTTCCTAGCAGTGTCGTTCGTGTGTGCGGTGCAATTGACGCTATGCATCGTTACTGAGTACAGGCGATTAAAAGCTCCGAACTTCCTAAGAGCTTGCAAAGTTACAACACAGAAGATGCTGTATCTGGTCGCGTTCCTGGCGTCTCTTATACGCGGCGCGTACTTTATTTCCCCTGTATGTATTTTTTCTTTCTATGTGCGTATTTAACATGCGCTCGAACGGTGAAGGAAAATATTGTGGAGAAACCGGCTTGCCTTAAAGTGTTTCCCAACGTGAAATTTGAATTTAAGTTGTCCATTATATGTTTTGAAAAAGTTACTGTGTCCTACTGTCCTATCATTTAGCAAGAGAGTGAGTAAGAGTTTCTTAATTGAACAATTCAATTATTTTATATTAAAAATATAAATGTTACATTTTTGGTTTAATAAGAATTAGGCCTAGGCCCGAAAAGTCGACGGTGTGTACCAGGCACAGGAGCCTGATCACCTATTTGCCTATTAGATCGGTAAAGGATCATGTAACAGATACATAAATCTGAAGCTGATTTTTTTTCTGTTTGCGTAGGAAATACGCAAAAATTGGTTTTTATATACTTGATAGTTTTTCTTTTTAGGCAATTAGGTAGGACGTTCTAAATCTAAAAGGATTTTTTTATTTATTCATTCTGTTTCCGGGGATTATATAGGATATCGTATTAAATACGCAATAAATGGGATTTCATACTACATAAGGTTGCTTGTATTTCATGAGATTAAAAAATTACTGCTTTGTTAATATTTTTTTAAGTAAGTAGGTGATCAGTGTATTCTTTGTGTATCAAAGTTAAAACTATCGTAGCGTAGTAAGAGATAGCAATAGAGGTAATTATTACCTATCTGTTATACCATAATATTTACTGTTATGATATATTAAAAATGTTTATTTCACAATAATTATCATTGACCTAATTTATTAGCACAAGATACGGCTCTAGGTGGGTCAAAGGTCGAGGGTAGGCGTGTTAATGATAAGATATAATTAAACTATAACACTGGTCCTTATATCTTATAATAAGCGACACCCAAACGACAGGTTTGGATAGGAAAAAATATGTTTTTATATAAATGGTACAGGATGCTCATCTAATGTTAAATGATACCGCCACCCATGGACACTCAATGCCAGAGGGATCGCGAGTGTGTTGCCGGCCTTTAAATGGCTTCGATAACAATAAAGACCTATAATGCATACGTAAAGACGTAATAAAATATGTAATACGAGCGTGAACATCTCGACTCTTTGTTAATTTTGCTTGGTATGTACATTTAAAAAATTTTATAACGCATTTTCATACAACGCGTATACGCAGTACTTAGTATAACACGGATATTCTCCGATATAACGCGAGGATAGGCACATATTTCATTTACATTATGCGTTATATGGGGTCAAACAAGCGCGTTATGCGAGAATAATCCTACAACGCATTTTCTACTATAACGCGGTACCAATCTACAGTGTATGAGAGATTACTAAAGGTTTATTGGGACAGTAAAAGTGTCATTCCTATAACACACACACACAAAGAAAAACTTCACTATACACAATAAACGGATATTTTTAATTACTTTTGTTAAATGTACTTGACAATAATTTATTATTTTTAAAGTCGATATGTTTTCGTGCTTCCCTACTGTTTTCAAGAGCCTTTTATAATCGTTGTAATTGTATGTACTATAAATTGCTGTGTACATTTTCGTGCCTATTATTGTTTTTTCTTTATTTTTAGTTATGTCATAATTTTTATAAAAAAAAATATCTGTGAAACAACTTAAAGACACTTCTATAACCTGGATATTTTTTTATATATCTTGTGTTTGTGATGTCTGTCTTGTTTCTTTATAAATAAATGCATATATCCCGTGAATATACAGTAAAAATTGTGAACAAATATATATATGTATTCCATAGAATAAGAATTAAGAAGTTGCCAGAAATAACTAGAAGTTATATTTTTCACAGGAAGCATTCCAAGAAACGTGGGCTACAAGTCTACCATCTGCCTACTATCCTCTACTTCTGTCCGGCTCATCACTTATCGTCTGCTTCTGGGCTGAGGTAAGCAATTTAAACCATAATCCTTCTATATAATCGAAACATCTAACTTATGATTATAACACAAATAGAAAAAAGTAGGAAGGAACTTTTGGGTTAAAGTGACATCTAGTGGTATATAACACAACCATTATCAGTATGTAGTGAAATGTGTTGTAGTTGATTTAACTACTGAACAATAGATGGCGCTTTACTAAAACAAATATTTGATTTTTACACCGAGTTGATTGTTAGTTAAATTACGATACATGAGTTACACTGTATGTATTAAAAAAATTTTTTAAATGAATTTATCCGAATTTTTCGTCTTTAAGGATGCGATCTTGACTCTATTTGATATCTCATATGTACTAACAAAAGCAAGCCAAATTCTCGATACAAAATCATTTCTATAGAACTTAATATGTAAAATTAACGCCTGCAGTTCTTCTGAGAAAAATTTTGACCGGAAATAAAAAACATAGGAACAAGTTTTGCATGATATATGCTCTTTGGAATCTCACTTTTGAGCCTTGAAATAACGACTACTTTTATTTGAAAACTAGTTGGTGTCAGAATTTTAGTGAAATACGGTTTGACGGAATGAAATAATTCTTAAAGTTATTATTACAGATAGATTTAATTTAATTTTTAATACTAATATATTGCTATGTGTTTTTGTCCGTAGTTTTAGATGTTTTTTAGCAGTTTTTTCAATTTTTTGGTGGTTTATTGTCGTCTTAATATATGTTAAAATTATTGTTAATTTGTCGAAATACGGCGCCACATTAAAACAGTTCCAAATTTTTTTCTACATATTTTCACGGCTCGGCAATGGTGTACCATGCAATATTGTGGTGGTGCATGCTTTTCAAACCCATAGAAAGTAATTAAAACATCATGATTTGTAAAATAAATGAAAGAAGGTACAAATTTTTGGCTTTAACCTAATCTAATCTGATCACAAACGCCACTTAGAATAAAAAAACTTAACCTAATTTAATTCACTGGGAACTGAGACAATATCATTTACATCATGCATTTTATCAGTTATTTAATTTTTTTAATGGGTCCAAAGTCATGCGCCTGCTTAATAATACTTGGGGTACTACATACAAGTCGAAATGAATGATAGAAAAAATTTGGAGCTGTTTTATGGTGGAGCGGTGATTCGACAAATTTACCATAATTTCTCTTTATTTGTCAATAAGGTCTGAATTGAGGTCTTAATTGTTTTTATAGCTGTTGTATTGGTGTTGCAAAAAAAAGTTTTTAAATTTTGATTACATATTATTTATATTAAATTATAGCAGTTCATACCGCAAAATATGTAGAAAATAGTACAATTATTTTTAATTTAAAAGGAATAATTTTCTTCATATTATTTTAATTTATAATTTCAATCAAATTAAAACAAACATGTAAGGTTCTAATGTTTAACAATTGTTTTAATCTTATTAGGTTTGGAAGTTCTCAAAACAATGTGTTAGTTAGCGATACGCGACCGTTGTGAGCTAACGCATTATTGGATTAAATTTTTTTAGTGATTTATTAGTTTCAGTGTTAAGTTTATGTAAGTAAATTTATGTTTAAAAACGGTATTAATTAAAAATAATATATTTATAGGTATAGCATTTATAAACGAAAAGTTTGCGTTTCTGTGATTCAGAGTAACATATTAGTATTGTCTTTGATTAACATAACCTTTACACATTTAAAGAAAAAACTTTTTAACCGGATTAAAGTTATGTATTATTATAAATTTACAATTATTATAGTGGTCACCGTGACCTCGCACGCCGTAAAGCACGCGAAACGTCGGATAAATTTAAAATTATGTTAAATAATTGTAAATTTATAATAATACATAACTTTAATCCGGTTAAAAAGTTTTTTCTTTAAAGGCCATATTCAGCTTTAGGTTGCTGTCATCAGCAATATCGTTGGCCCTAAATAAATAAATTAACTTGGTAATTAATTCTTTGTTATGTTGTAAATCGCGTGAAGCGGTAGGTGAGTTGAAAAATTATAAAAAAAAATCATTTTTATTACACAATTTCAAATTCAAATAATTCACTTATAAAATTTTAAACAAGATGTGAAGACTAGGGATTTTCCCGTGTTAAGTTGGCTTTTCCATAACAGATGTTTACAAAGGAAAATTTAAATGAAAATTAAAGCTAAAAAAAGGGAGTCATACGTAGCGCTAAGTAGTAATAATAATAATTAATATATAATCTAATGGCGCTACAACTCTTTATGGCATCAGATTGCATTCATTTCTTTGATTTGATCATTTTTATTTCATAGACAAATAGGTGATCACCCTTCTGTCTGCCACATTTGAAACATGCCGGTTGTTTCACGATGTTTTCCTTCACCGTACGGGCGAATGTAAGATGCACATAGAAAGTTCGTTGGTGCACAGCTGGGATCGAACCTACGGGATGAGAGTTGCACGCTGAAGCTAACACTGCTGGTGGGCTCAATTTAATAAGTTTTCATTTCTATACAAACCTTGCCAATTAGCATTTTTTGTCCTTTATAAATAAAAATATAATTAATATGGTTTTAATACTTTATATAATAATTGTGTTTGACCTTAACCTCTTTTTGAATTTATTGGCTACCATTTTAGGCTTTATAGTGTATCTAAACACTACAAATCAGTTACGGAGGTTGACATTTCATTATTTATGGTATTACTGTGACATATTTTGCTGGAATTTCGAAATCGTTCAAGTTGAATTCACCCTCAGACTGTCTTGAGGTTTTTGTTTTTGGTCTGATTCAGATTTTGATGGACTATGTCATACGTACACTTCCATATCAATATGTTTTTGACGTACGACAGGCACTGGTAGCGCTAAGGGAAACGAGACTTAGAAGTCTGAGGTCCATTCGTATATTAAGTCAGAATCTCATATTGAACGCCGTCAAATAATGAACGTTTATTTATTGCCAGTTCTTCTCTTCCGTTTTACGCCCTTGATTTGAGAACTGGCTGTAAATGTAATTAGAAGCATTTCATGTATATTTCTTTTTTGACGTTCATAAGTGTACATTGTGTTACCTATATGTATAAATGATTTTTGACTTTAACTTTTGACGTATTCAACGAACAGAGATTAGGATCGTCGACGACCATTTACTTTCTGAGCGACTTGATCCCTTGGCGTTGCGTAGGGATGTAGGATCTCTCAACATCTTCTACCGCATTTACCATAGAGAGTGTTCAGACTAATACCTGCAGCTGAGTTTCATCATCGGACGTCAAAGCAGAATACAAAATACCATCCGTATCACCTCGACGTCCGTCGTTCCACAACTGAGCGTTCCTTAAGGCCATATTTCCGCCACTATGTGGAATCAGCTATCCACTAGTATTTCCGAACCAAATTAATAACGTACCAATTCTTAAAAGGCTGGCAGCGCGCTTGCGATCCTTCTGGCAGTTTGCCTCCTGTAACAAAAATGTGTTTATTTCGAGTTTCTATTAGCTTATCGTGCCGATATAATCATTAACAATGCCACGACCAAGACGATGGTATCGTTCCCGAAAAAGCTGTAACGCAATAAATGGCTGGACCGATTTTGATGAGTTTAACTTTTAAGTGTATTCGAGAATAGTTTACATTATTTACAATAAGATTGTTTTGTTTGTGATTTTAAATTAGAAATTTTGTATTCAAGTGCGTTGGTGGCCTTTCAACTATATACTTCTACACTGTTTATTTTTACTATTATAAATTTTCTACTATTATTATTACATTATTTTCCTTTTTTTGTGTCTGAGGCGCAAACTAACTGTCTCTGGCAGAATTACCACTGCTTTGGAACACGTCTGCTCCACAGCATAATGCTGTGCCAGGGCCAGTTACTACAACAACATACACACATTACACACTTAAAATGTACCTTTTTTTTATTTCATTTTTTATTTTATTTTTCTTTTTTGATTATTATTATTTCGTGTGTTTCGATAATAAATGTTATGTCTATCCATCACAATGGGATTGGTAATTATAAACAAATAAATGTAAAATAAAACAATCTCGGTGGCTGTGTTTGCCTCGATAAACAGATTTAAATTAAATTCAGTACGTATTATTGTAATTGGTTTCACAAAAGAAATTGAATTGTAGCGATAAGGAACGCCCTTGACTGTTTCATTGTGGCTTATGCAACGTCTGAATAGACCTATTGCGATTATTCTCAACGTTTTTTATTTTGTTTTTATAACTGTTAGGGGATTTACTATGACCGGTAAACATATTCCTGCATCCATCGAGATTTTTTGGAGTCTGATGATGAGCTAGTCAAGAAAAATCTTGCTAGAGGTTGTGGCTTTGAATTTAATAATCTGTTAGGGGGCTGTTCAAGGATTACGTAAGCACTATGGGGGGGGTGGTTCCACGATTCCTGTATCTGTGTCGTCATCCTTTGATCAGCCTTCTGTGCCTGACACAATCGATTTTTAAGAATGTTTTCCTCTTACGGGCGAGTGTTGATTCGTAGAAAAGGTTTTTTTGTTCCTGTTTAGTTTTTTCTTAACACCTACATATATAGATTATGTACTTTTGCACTAATTGCTTAGCTTATCTAATTTAATACATTTTGTTTCACAGTGGTTGCCTGGAAGAGATCGCTCGAAAGCGATAAGGCCGCCAGTTGCCCTCCTTTTCATTTACTTATGTTCGATTTTTTTTATGTTAATGCAACGAAGTGTTGATAAATAAATAAAAGTGTATTGGTACAAAACTGTGATGGTCATGCTCATATAAATAAATATTTAGATATTTTATTATTAGATATTTGATGAATATAAACGATAATAATTAGTGGTTTTAAAAACCGAATTTAATGGATAAATTCTGTAATGCAAGCAGATTCAAATTCAAAATCATTTATTCATATAGGTAACAAAATGTACACTTATAAAAAATAAATCAACGTCAAAAAATAAATATAATAAATGAAATAATTCTAATTTTACATTTACTGCCAGTCCTCAAATCAAGGGC